GGAAAGCAGGTGTTCGCAGTTAGATCCAGTAAAGAAAGAGTGCGTTAAATCCTTCAGATCCAAGGTAAGATTGAGGGGAGTCAAACGAGAGGTGCTCACCACCCATAGAAGAGGCGGCGAGCAGGATTCACATGCTGTTGACAGGCAATGCGGGTTTTTAATGTGCATTCTTTGATGGCTCAGCAAAACCTCAGATATCTCTTCAAGGAACACTGCTGTGTTGCTAAGACCAGTGGATCAGAGCACACATCTGAAATTCACACCACAAATACTTTCCATGTTCCCTTCTTAAAAATAACTTAACCTTTAAAGATGTCTTTCTTATTATTTGCTTATTTATTTATTTAATTGGTGTTTTTAGAGACATCTGCTAGTTGTGGTGCCTACTTAAAGTTATTAAACTAAAAAGAGAGACATATACAGTTTTAAAATGAAGAAATACACCAGCAAATATAGGAAGATGTTGTGGGTCATGACTTTACTCACCCAATGATCCATCAAGACATATACTGGACATCATTCTGCAAGAATTATAAAATATTCTAATTATATTTTAACCTCATGCTGAATATTAACCTTATAAAGACAAGAAAATGAGTAATCTTACCTTGAAGATAAAACGAGCAGTACTTGGTTTAGATTTGATGTTACACTGAATTATAAAAAATGTGTAAAGTCAAAATGAAACCTTGTTTGTAACCCAGTTCACTTTCATAATAGTGGCGGATTTCAGAGGGAAATGGGATATTCCATGTGAAAAAAATGTAGGGTGGGTCTGTGAGATATAAAAAGTTGTATCAGGTGGTTTGTGGGACTGAAAAATAAGACGTCAACCGAAAAGGAAAGTCATTTTAACATCGACAAATTGATCACAATAAGACCAAGAATGTCTATAAAGAACGTAAATAGGGTTGATTTTGATTCCTTGTTCACTTTAAGCAATTCAAATAAATAAATAAAAATACAACAAGGTAAAGGTTACAATTATAGGTAAAAAGATGATAAAATAAAGAAAACCTTTTTAAAAAAGCAGGAAGCAACAATTATTACAGTTGGGTTATTTATTTAGGAAAAAAAACATATTTTTGGCAAACAGTCAATCTGTATAGAATTACAAACTGAACACCTCATTGTTCAAGAGAACAATTCAAGTTTTGACTGGCATTTTTATGGATTATAAATTGAACTGTCCACTGAACAGTTCCTGCAAAACCTTTAAGTAGTACATTTTATTCAGATCCAAGCCAATGAAAAAAATCATGGTGGAATACTCATCATCAACATCTTCAAGCTTCAGATTCAAACATCTTCTTCCTGCCACCCATACCAGACTTATCCTCGATGTTCTTACGCCAGTCACCAACATCACGCAGTTCTTTATCCTGTGAATGAAGGTGAGATTTTCAGCTTTTGCAAACTGGAATTTCTTGACCTTATCATGTAAAAATGTGGTCATCTGTTGTACGCACCTCCTCTTTGACCTCCTTCTTGACTTGTTTGAGGTTGGCTCT